TTTCTTTCCCAGAGAGAAAACTTCTTGCCTTCACTCTTTACTGACTTTCCAGTCAAATCCTGAAAACCCAGAGTTCAGGTTTCTGCACTCCAGGGAGCAGCACTTCAGACTTGTCTGAATGCACATGAAATGGGCTTTGCTCCTCTAAGACTTGTTGACCGTTCAGACTGGGCTGTAGTAAGTGACTTGTTCTTTCTCTGCACACCTGAGCTGTCAGTGCTTGCTTTTCCTCTTGACAGTGATTCAAGCAGTCTAATTTTGTTTCCTTTTGCTTTATGGTAAGTGACCATGTGAAAAATCCTGCTTAATACAAGTGCAGTGAGTGCCTCCTACTTCCTCTCCTGGATTAGAGTTGAACTTGGAGAACAGCAACTTTGGACAGTTCTCTTAAATTCTGCTCTCATCTGGTTTGGTAGAGTAGCATTTTCCTGTTGCTGAATGCAGGCAGGGGAAAAAGAACGGAAAGAGCTTAAATGAAAAGCCTTTTAAAAATAATCTTCGAGTTTTTAGAGGAAAATTAATTAAATATGCTCAACTACTGGCAAATCAAATGCCTATCTTGGGGACAATAGTCAGCAGCAATTCTCTGGTAGCTGAGAGTTACCCAGAGAATCTCTCAGCAGAGTGCACAGTTACACAGGTACTTTGGAGTCCTCCAAGGAGAGGACAGACAAGAGCCCTTAAGGACCTGACTGTAGAGAGAGATGCTGGAGAAGAGTCTGACTCTGCTTCCCTCCGCTCCCTACAGAACCCAGCACGTCTCCTGTAACGTGCTCACCCTGGGCTAATGCCGAACAGCTGCAGCTTTTGCATGTGAGTCTGTGCTGGCAGAAGTTGTAATAACTTGAGTTCTTGTGCTGAATAGCTCCTAGGTGGCCTCCACAGAACATTTGCCTAACAAATGGGCTGTAGATCACACGATAACACGCAGCAGGCCTGCGGGCGCATCTCGATAACCGCTGCCCCTCCTTGAAAAGCACCGTACGAGACTCCTTCAGCCACACTGGGATTCTGATCTGCCTTCACTTGGGCTGCAAAAGCACTGAGAGTGGAACCAGCTACAAATCTTTTGCAAAATAATCCTGACACTCTGTCTTTGCACTCTGGATGGGCAGAACCACAGTGCAGTGACTATCAGGCAGCCTGTATGGGCTCATGGACCCAGCTGTCATTTTAGCCCCCTCCTGTTTTTCCTTCTTGCTCTTTCTTCCCCCATCCTCCTTTCCCATAAAAGGGAAAAAACTCTGACCCAAAGTCTAAGACTAATGATGGTGTAGTCCTTCCTCTGACCTGCTGAAGTATGGAAGGAAGAGCTGGTGTTCTGGGGAAGTGAGGTAGCTGAAGGGATCCAAACATCCACGGTGTAAATCTTCACAGTGCTTCCTCTGCTCAGCTTGGCTTTGCTAGGCTGTGCTGAGAGCTGAACGTGGGACCTCAGCACAGGAGCATCTCTTGTTCCTTCTGCTCTCCCCACAAGCCCAAGTGTGTTCCCAGGTGAACAAGAAAGCGTGCAGTTCAGTTCCTTGCTGCTCAAGAGTCTTCTGCTGGGCTCTGCGAAGCTTCCAGCTTAATGTGCTGCTTCCCTTCCTCTGAAGCAGGAGATAGTGTTACTAACAGTGCTGCGTCTGTTCCCTTGTCAGACACAGAGCTCTGGCTAAGTGCTTCTGCACACTGTCTCTGTCAGCTTTTGTTTTTGTTTTTTCTACATATTTTAGCCGTGTGGTCTGATATCGGGAGGAGCAGCCGAGCGATCTCTGGAGCAGCACTCTAGCAAGGTAGCTGCGTTATTTTTTTTTCATTCCTGAAGTTTGTTAATTTTGGGTTATTGCAGTGTTGTTTGGTTTTGGTGGGTTTTTTGTTTTGTTTTGGTGGTTTTTTTTCCCTGCAAGTGTTTTGCACTTCCTACAGCATTAGGGTCTGGCTCTTCTCGAGTCAGAGAGGACCGTGGATGTGGGGCAGCCTGCAGCAGCTTGGTGTAAGCTATTACACAACCCAACAGTAAGTTGGCTGTACACTGTGATACTGAATAGCCTGTCTCAAGAGAGACACAGGCAAATGTGATACATCTTTGACTTTGTCCTGAGTGCAAGCAGGATGATGTGAAAGGATACCCAAGTACCCTTTGCCTGATAAAGCTGCCTACTATGTTAGTCTGGCTTGATTGTTTCCAACTGGCCTTGTAGGGCCAGGTCCTTTCCAAGAGTTGTAACCGAAGTGAATAATGCTTTCATAAAGAAGGCAAAGTAAATCTTGCTAAATGACAAAGACAACATAACATTCCTGGTTGAAATCTCGCGATAAATATCCTGTGTACTGCTGAATCTCTATCTGGAGCCTTGAGTGCCAGAGGATCTTGTTTAAATTGGAGTAGGCTGACTCTTTGTTAATCGTAATTAAAATCAGCAAGCAGGAAACAACAGATGCTAATCAGAGTTTAATTTTTTTCTTGGAATCTCTCAGAGCTGATTCTCAGGGGTAACTATTCAGGTGTGGAGCAACTCTAGAGCTACTAAGCTAAATACAGTATTGGGGGGTTGTGTTGTGGCTTTCTGCTGGTTTTGTTTGTCTTGTTTGTTTTGAAATTGTCTATCACTGAAAATGACTTAGCCTGGGATGTGCTGGCTGTAGCCACTGTCTTTAAATGAAACTGTGTAAATTGACATTAAAATACAAGCTGCACTCCAAGCAGCAGCACTGCTGAGCTCACTTAACGTAGGCATTGCCGTTATGGGCCACACTGGTTCTGACTGGGCTCTGGGATCGCCTCTTCCCAGGGATTTAACCTCTTTCTCCTGGGTGCAGTGCCTCTGCACTAGCATGTTGGCTTGAAAAAAGTGAGTGCAAGTCTGCTGTGAAAAAAAAAAAAACAACTTGCAGACAACTTTAGTGGTATAGGTTTGGTTTCTGTTGGTTTGGGGTTTTTTGTTTGTTTGTTTCAGTGGGTTTTATTTGTTTGGTTTTGTTTTGAATGGGAGGGGAACAAGGCATTTGACAGATGACCACAGTGAGTTTCAGGAAAGCTTTTCTCTTCAGTGGGCAGTCAATAACTAGTATGTGCTTGCACTGCAGTGATATCTTCAGAGTTTTCTGATCTCTTTGATCACAGTGACTTGGGGTGGGGGAAGAGGAGAAGCAGCATCTGTGGCTCGTGGCTTGAAATGGCTGTATCTGATTGTGCTGCCATGAACTTGTCTCGGTCCTTCTCTCTGCACGTTCCTTCTAGTCATGGTAGGGGAAAAGAATCAGCTTTTCTGCAATTTTTATGTTTCCTAACTGGATTTTTCAGCTTATGTTTATATCAGGTGGAGTAACATTCTTGAAGACCAAAGCTAAGTTAGCTTTATGCCTAGAAGCTGCTTCTGAGAAACTCAAACCACTGAAGTGGGAGTCACTTGTTAACTAAGTAATGAACTAAATAGAAAAACCATTGAACTTTACACCTGATTTGCATGCAGCAATTGTAATTTCATGCTGTTTATATTCCAGAGAATGCTTAATGCTCCAGTCTTTGGCGTTCTTAATTGAACAGATTGCTTACTCACTTCAGAAAGCTCTTAGTTGCTGTTACTACACACAACATCTCTGGCCTTTTAGCAGAAGTTAGTAGCTTGTTTCTGTCAGAGAGTAAAGCAATCTGACTGTAAATAAACCAACAAGCCTCGGGATGCCAGAGCGCTTCTGGACTTCATTATCAAGTAAGTGATGCTGTCAAACTAAAGTCCAGTGAACAGTCCAAAGCCACATAATTATTGCAGGCCTTGACATGGCAGAACTATTTCATGCCTGACTATCAATAAACATAGATAGCATGTTCTGGGCCTTTAATCTGTTGAAAACTGTCCCATTAAGCCCTGTCCAAGGGAAGGAATGTCTTCTGGTTTTGTGCTTCTGACTTGTTCCCCTTCCTTCCTCCTCCCCTTAACTGCAGTGGTAGATTGTCCTCAGTGGGAGAACAAATTTTCCAAACAAGCCTGGAGAGAATCCTGCGGAGTATGAACTGAGATAAAAGATGTAATGCATTATAGCTTGACAGAGGACATGGAGTCCCTGAGTGTCTCCAAGTGGTAAAGAAGTTCTCTTTCAGAACCGGCCCTCCTGACCCCTATCCCCAAAGGGCTCCTAAAGACGTGGATTTGCTTGAGCTGGAATGTTTGGCCAGGGTTGCTCCCTCTCCTTAAACATGGCTGGGAGTATGTAATCCATCTGTTATGTTTGGCCACACTTCCCACTTGGCTACATGGCACAGAAACCTAAATATTCCAGCTGGGCCTATAAATCCAATTTGGACACACTTTGCCCAGCAGCAACACCAGTATAGAACTGATTTTCTCCAAGAATACTAATCATTCCTCTTCTGACAGGTAGTAGAGAGATGACTGAATTACAGCTATCTAGCAGAGAGAGAACTGTTCTGGGGGACAGTTGCTGTGTATGTGACTGATTTCATGTGTGCTTTATCTTCAGTTACAAGAACTGAAGCTGATGGGAGTGCTGGGAAACAAAAAATGACTAGGAAACTTGTTCTGCAAACAATAATTCTACATGGCTTTTCTTAAGCATTCCTGTTGCCCTGAACTGTTGTCCAGCACTAGCTGAGCTCTGGGAGAATTACCCTTTTCTTACAGAAATGGGGAATTACTGGCTTGGAATGCAGTCAGAGCACTGGGTCTGCTGTGGAACTGGCAACGGTAGCTGCTTGATCGAAGATCTCTGGTCATATGGCAAACACACCCTCGAGTCATACACATTAAGAACTCTGTAATCTAGCGTGCTGGTATCTTGGCTAAGCGGGTAAAGAGTCCAGTTTCTTGGAGCAGTTGATCTTGCTCTCAGGAAAGCTACTCAGCAGGTTGGGAAAACAAAATAGTATCACTGCCTTTAGTCCAGTTGTGAAAATAAATGGTAGTTACAACTCTGGAGGTGCAGATCTCAAACTGTTTCATGTAATAGCCGTGGATATATGTATATAAAAGATAACACAAATAATTTCTTCTTCCTAGGAACTCCAGCAGCTTAGCAAGCAATACAGCAATATCAAGCTCCTCCAACTGGGTGAGTAAAGGCCTTATACAGAAGTATGTTCAACTAAGTCAGGGGAGTGCATCTCAAGAAACTGTTCTCCTGGGTGATCAGGAGCTGTATATCACCTTCAGCAGCTGAAAATTATCACCTTCATCTGGGGAAACATAATCTATGTAAAGTCTTCTGTGCATTCTCATCTCTGCGTGCCACCTAAATGTCCCCAAACTAATACCTGAGCTTTGGTTTAGCATCTGTCGTCCAATGACAGATGGCATTTGAACCACCCAGTTCAGTGTTCACTGTGGCTGTTCTTGGCTCCTCTGTGCAGATGTGGTCTGTGAAAACAGCATCAAGAAAGTAGTCAAGGAAGTGGAAGAAATTGTGGGAGACAAAGGTCTGAACTGCCTCATTAACAACGCTGGCATCAATGTGCTTGCTTCCTTGGAAGATGTCACAGCAGAGACAATGCTCACCATTTACGAAACAAATACAGTTGCCCAGCTGATGGTCACCAAGGTAAGAACTGGGAGGGATGTGCTTTATCTATGGTACTGTGAGAAGCTTTTCAACTAGTGAGCTGGACACATAACCCAAGCATTTGTCACCTTGGAACTGCACAGATACGGGTCTGATATCAAACAGCATGCCTAGAGAGCAGCAAGAGATCCTCTCCATCAAGGATCTTCCTCTTTATTTAAATCCATCTGGTATGAGGTCACTTGAATGGACAGGTTGGGCTAGGAGGTGGGCAGAAGAGACTGAAGGTCCTTGCCACTTCCAGCTGGCTGGATAATCATGGTTAGCTTGTCTGGAGAGACATCACCATTCTCTGCTGGTGGCATAGAGTTGTACTGCAGTTCTTCATAGAGCAGAACCTGAGAGTCTGGCTTGCCTTGAATGGACCAAAAACAAGCTGACCAAATAAAAACCAACTCTTGTTTTCACAGGCGTTTCTGCCCCTTCTGAGGAAGGCAGCACAGCTGAGCACAGGAATGGGCTGCCACAGAGCTGCTATTATCAATATGTCCTCTCTTGCTGCCTCCATGCAACTCGTCCAGGCAAATGAGATGTTCCTCAAGGTCTACCCCTACAGGATAGCAAAGGTTTGTAGGCTTCCTTTGTGGGCTGTGCTCACTGTAGGTTAAAGACCACTCTGAGCTTAAGATGATGATGTGAGGTGTGCAGCACCTCCTGGGATAGGCTGACACAGGAACTGTTCTTGTTCTTCATGTGGGTGGAAATGGGACCTGTGAAAACTGTACTTTGAGCAAGTATGCCAACTTCTTAAGAACAGCCTCACAAATGCTCCATCACTACTCTGATACAGACCCATTTCAGAGGGACTTGTCATTCTGGGAGGAACTGATGCCATCAAGTGTGTGTCCTATTAGCTGTGTTCCTCTCCAATCCAAGCAAGACAACAGGCATGAAACTCAGCAAAAGGTGTGCTGACCTGTACCTGGTAATGCTGGTTAGTGAGAGGTGGAGTTTTTAGCTTTGTCACATCCAGAGACTGAGTTTGTGTGAATAGTCAGGATTAGACATACAGTTTCTCCTACACCACCTACTCATAAGCTGTTAATATGCTTGTTTTCCCTGTTCAGAAGGAAAAAACCTGAATGTTTGTGTAGTGATTATTGCAGAAAAACAGAGTCCGTATGTCAATATTATTTTCCCCACAGCTCCTTAGGAGTTTCAAATGCTACTTTATCTTCCATCATAACTTAGTTTCATCCTTGGGCAGTAAGCTTATGGCGATACAGCTTTCACATTGCTTCTCTTAACAGATATCTCTGGGAATGAAGCCCCACTAACTCTGGATAAGTTACTGTGATGCTGTTACTGCCCCTTCATTTGTCAGGAGACAGCGTGGTGGAAGGGAGGTGCCAATTAGCTTGGCTTAAGGCCTTGCTCAGGGTTTGTAAAACCAGCACAGTAATAGATGGTTTCCACTCTTGTAGACTGCACTGAACATGATCACCAGGTGTCTTGCTGCAGACTTGAAATCGGATGGAATTCTCTGCATTTCTTTGCATCCAGGCTGGCTTCAGACAGACATGGGTGGAAACATGGTAAGTGACATCTCTCTGACAGAAAGTATGACTCCCATGTTGTCCCTTGATTCTAATAACTCCCTAAGTGCATTTGATTCTCTTCTGCAGGATATTCCCAGTAATAATCTAAGCTTGATTTGCTCTAGGCTCCCATGCAGGTCCAAGAGGCCATCCCAGGTATTCTCTCCGTTATGGACCGTCTCGGTGAAAAAGAAAATGGTTCCTTCCTGGACTGGCAAGGGGAAACTCTACCATGGTAGAAGAGCACAGAATGCTACAGAAACAGCATGTCAGTCACTATTTAACTTGTGCCACTCATGTCTGTGTCTCTAGGGTTTTCTTACATGCTAGTTGAAATAGCCAGTCTGGTATCCAGCCTCTCTCTAGATGTATTTGGAAAGTGAGGTGGCCAACTCTTTTACTTGGTATTGCTACTGCTCTGTTCTAATGCTTCCTGCAAATACTACTGTGCTCTTAGTGATGGGTATCTCCTGGAACCATCTAAAATCGATTCAAAACTACAATTTAAATCCAGGGGCTGGTTCCTCTTCACTTCCAAAACCAAAATGGGCCTCTCACTCTCTGCAGAAGTAAATGACCTGACCTCAACGTAAGGCCAGTGTAGGCTGTCAGATTCCAGTATGTCCAGTCTGTTGGAGACATGTCTCTGGAAAAGCTCCTTTGGTTTCCTTCAGTCCTAACTGAGCCAAGGCTGAAATTGCCTAGCTCTAAACTCTGTGAATTTGGTACTTCTGTAACTTCCTCAGCAACCTGAGTGGCCCCAGGTTGCCAGCACACACCAGGCCCTTCCTTTGGTCCCAGTGGGTGACTAACAACCTGATGTGAGGGTAGGAATGTTCTTTTGTACATAAACTTCTGAAGTGTCTACAATAAAGTCTTGTTTAAACAAACAGTCTCTTTATTGAACTACTTCAGTTAATTTCTTTGTATGTCTTGGGTTTCTCTGCCCTGACCAGAGAACTGTACTTCTACCTTGCGGGGAGAAACTCTAACCATTGCTGTCTCCTTCAGGCTAGATGGGTTTAACATGGTGGATGTACCTGAATCTGAGGCAGACCCTTGTTCTGGTCTGAAATAGTAAAAGCAGCTGGTGAAAAGATCTCTGTGTTCTAGCTGAGGTAGGGATAAAAGCAAAAAGTTCTTTGAAGTCTGGGATTGGCTTCAGCATCGCTCCCTTGTGCCAGATGATGAGGCACTTTCATGCTGTGCCAAGATAGTGGGTTCCTGTACCAAGTAAGAAAAGACAAAC